ATGCTGTCATCTTTTCCCCAGTCCAAAGATTGCCTTACCTTGGGAATTACAAATTTTGAGAAAAAAAATATTTCCTAGTGTTGTTTCATAATTGGTAGCTGCTTTGCAATTAATGCCATTAATGCTTTAAAATGCCTCTTAAAATATTCTCTGCCTGTTGTGACTGAATTCCTTGAAAAGCATTGTGAAAGAGTTTACAGATCACTTAAAATAAGTCAGCAGTGTCACCCTTGGAATCTGTTTTTTCAAGTGCTTCATGGGGAATCGGTATCTCAAAACTGGAGTTGGGAAATAGCCTTGACTAAAGGCTTAGCCAACTAGCAAGTAAACAGAGCAAATCTGAGTATTCCTATTTGTGAAACACTGCAATGGAAAACAGGACGCATGGGTGTTTTGAAATGATTCCTGTGTTTAGAATAGTTACTCAACTGAAACAATCACTGTTAGCAAAGCATCCAGGTTTTTTCAGTCTTTCAACGTAACGACCCAGATTTATAGAGAATTATACAAAAAAGTAAAACCAGCTGTTCAATATGAGCATGGAGTTAATGAGGAATCTAAGTGGTGCCTTGTTTTTAAGGCTTGCTATAATGTGTTATTCACCAAGAAAACTTGAACGTTGTGTACATTCACTGACCATATTCAGTGGCCACATGGTTCCAGTAACGTGCTGCAGAGCATTACTCATGGAAATGTAAGTTCAGCTCAGTGTATAATGGAATTTTTTGTATCTGCTTTGTCCTTGGCAGCCAAAATTGCTGCCCTGGGTACTGCATATGCATGTGAGATATGTAGGATCAAGCACAACTAAAAATGATCATCTTCTGAAGCCAAAGATAATGCCTGAATTCTGGAAAAGACAATAAGGTTATTTTTTATGATTGAGAGCATCTAAAATAGTAAACAACCAGGCCAGTGGCATCTCTGTTCATCCAGATTTCCTAATTGTAACAATATTTGCTCTCTTTCACTCCAGGAATGACTATACCAGAGGAAGATGCTGATGTGGGACAAGGTAGCAAATATTGCCTCGTGGCAATAGGAAGGCTGCAGGTAATGCAACTACTTCTGAAAGCATAATCATTCTTGTGCTTTAGTTGTAAGGGATTTGCACAAAGTTCTGGGACTAAACTGTAATTTCCAACATACCTCCAAATTACTAAGTGCCTTGATGTCTGCCTGCAGCCTGTCTTTTATAGAATCATAGAATGGGTTGGGTTGGAAGGGATCTTAAAGATCATCTAGGTCTAACTGCTTTGCCATGAGCAAGCATGTTTAGAACATGTCAACAGAGGAAAATGAAATGTGATTTTGGGCCTTAAGGGTATTTAACCCAGCAGCAGAGACGCTCCTGGACCATGAGCATGTACAGACCTGCTGTTCTTTAGGGTGCATAGAGCTGGGATGTTGTAGATTGTGAGTAATGTGGAAGTATGGGTGTTGCAGGTGGTAGGTAAAAGTGGCTCCCTAAGCCAGTGAGGTGTTCCCTGCTATTCTTTTGTTCTAGCCAGTCAACTACTTGAAAAACTGATGCAGGAGTTATGCTGGACACTGTAAAGACAAGGCAGTCAGGAGGCACTTCACAAAGAACAGCTTTATTCTCAGTGTGCAGTCAGATGTGATCTCAACCAAGGGAGTTGTGAGAATAAAATTTTACTTCCTTTTTGTCCAGACAGTTGCAATTGATGTACATTTTCTTCCTTTGTCCATGGCTGACAAGGATTCTGAGCAGGAGCTAGACCAGTCACAGTGAATCTACTTCATGACAGCAGGGAGGCTAATTTTTATGTTCCCTGTCTGGGAATTCTGCCATGGGTGAACATGTTTGAGGCTCCTGCAGAATCTCCTGTTGGCCTGCACTCGTTGCCATCTGCTAGGATGACATTGCTCCTTCTTATGGGGTAGAATGACCCTTCCATCAGAGCACAGGAGCCAAACCCTTCTTACTTGAGGTGAGCAGTCTGCCCAGTACTGCAAGTGTTGGCACTTCTGCAGAACATGTCTCCATTGTGATGGCAGAGCTACAAAAGTAGTATTGCATGATGTTTTTTAGGTTATTCATGCTTTTATAATCAAGGGGTTATATATTCCACTGATGGAGAGGAGGGATTCATACATTCCAGCTGCCAAAGAAAGATGATTACTGAGAAAATCACGTTAGTAACGTGGAGTGTCAAAACATCTGTTAGGTTAGAAGAGCCAGCAGGGTATGTCAGAGAGGGCAAGAGGAGGCTCTGTGGATAGGTTTGATCACACAGGAGTCAAGGTGCACAAATTGTAAACTCTGCTCTCTAACAGCAACTTAAAATCTTGCATACATTTAACTGGCTGATCTGTGTCGTGACAGCAGGACTGACCTGTCCTTTGGAAAGTTCTCATTCTTGGGTCACAAGGGCAGGAACCAAGATGCCAAACTTTAATGTGGTCCCACAGAGTGGGATGAATCCAGCCATACTTACATCCTTACATTCCATGTTGGGAACTTCTGGTGTAGTTGCTTTCTTGCTGTGCTGTGAAGCCTACATATGTGCCATGGGATGAGATACTTGCACTGCAAACCAGACTAAAGGCTGTTCTGTGTCATTTAGTCCTGCTATTGTTTTATTGATGACTTCCTTCAGTAGTTTGCAGTCTGCCAACAGATTTTATTCTTTAGCTGCATGATCAACTTTGACTCAAGGTGACTGTTCTGTGGGCTAAATGCTGTGAACTTTGGTCCTAGGTAACCAGCTCTCCAGTGTGCATGGACATGAATGGCATGTCAGTCCCAACTGAGTTCTTGTCTAGGCACAATTCTGATGGAGTCATCACCTTTGTCGACCCAAGGTGCATCAGTGTCATTGGCTACCAGCCCCAGGTCAGTGAGAAGCTGCAGAGACTGATTAGAACTAATGTGGAAACAGAATTTTTTTCATTAGAAGAACAAGTGCTGCAGAACATGAAATATTTCTAAGTAATAATTCATGTCACACACTAAGTGTAGTTTTTTTCTTTAGTGTCTACACTTCTGTAAAATGTCTAGTTTTCCCCTTTTTTATGTGGGATATCTTTTAATATCTTTGAGATCCAATTAGACTTGTGACAGCAAGATGTTTTAAACCTTGCACAGCTTTCCACTAAAGATACTTCTATGATAGAAAGCTGACAGTGCTTGGAGAGAGATTTAGTCCTATAGATGTTTACTTATGTCAGCCTGTAGAACAGTAAGCAAACATCACTTGTGGCAACTATTTTCACTGAAGCTTGCATCTGCTTCCCTGAATAGCTGGTCACAGAAATGATACAATAGTAAATGAACTCCTGACTATCACAGTCCTCCCTTAGGTAACTCTCAACAGTTGCAGTTTACAGGCCAAAATAATTTCTTGCTCATTATGTTTTCCCATTTATTTTGATTTTAGGTGGTTTTATAGTAACAGTTTTTACAAAATTGAGTGCTATAAAATGAGCTGTAGTAGAAGGTATGAGTCTCTTCAAGACACTGTTTCACAGGTATTAAATAAAACCAACACACTTAGAATTTGTTTGTAAATACATCTGTGGCACATGATGCCAACAAACCATTTGTATTATGATTCATCCCTGATTAGTCCCATTGAGGCTGGTAGATCTAGTGAGTGCAGGATTCCTTGCAGATCTGGACGTGGATTTGCATTGTGATCTGGGTGTTTTACACAGCTCTGTGTTTTATTCTAGGATCTTCTGGGGAAAGATATTTTAGAATTCTGCCATCCTGAAGATCAAAGCCATTTGAGAGAGAGTTTCCAACAGGTACCGTGTCCTGCTCCTTTTCTTCTGCCATTTATTTCTTATTTTTCTTTGGGTTTGTTTTGTTTTCCAGAGAAGTAGCTTTTATTTTTAATGTCAAGGTTTTATATGCTGGTATGCATGGATAAGGTGTGGAAAGACATAAAACAATTTGTTGATGAGTTATAAATCAGTTAAGCTCCATAAATGGTAGTTTAAACTGCAGCATCTGTTTGCTGTGTTTTCAGAAATAAGTTGCTTAGTTATACATGTTGTTTTCTTTTGACAAACAAACTAAATGAATGTTCACTGCACAGTTAGTGCTGCTTTGGAGATGCCTATATACATCCCACTGTGTTAAGTGGTAACCAAAAGTGTTTACTTTCCAAAATGGACTGTTGATTTGAAAGTAGTTACACCCCACTGTAATGCTGGATTGTTTGTTATCTGCATTCTCTGCTAGCACAGGTGATGTGCTTCATACCTTAATGGAGTTACACTACTTTACATCAATGGAGTATTTGTCTCTTCTCCCTGTTAGGACTTGAAATGCAGACAGAAGTAACAAATAAAACATATGGAAAGAGTTGCTGATGCTGATCTGGGTTAGTTTTTACAGAGGACCACATTTGCATCAGCTATATCAAAGGCACTTTTTCTGTTGTAGAGCTTATTGTTTCAGATTGGTCTGGGACATACAGTAGGAGTGTTTTTCCCAAGCCTGCTGATTCCTGGTCTTTTCACTGCCTTCCCTGCTGCACTAGGAAATGTGGTTTGGGATGTTTAATAGATTGCTGGGTTTTATATGATCTTAAGTGGTTCCAGATTTTCTGACAACAGCCTATAGCTCAACCATCTTGCATTGTTTGCTGAAATATGTTTTCAGCTGTAAAGCATGGATATGAAGTGACTTCTAAAATAACTTGTGTAGCCAAGTATTTATTCAGGCATGGCATGCAAAACCAGAGCTTGAAAAGCCTCTCTGGGGATAGCAACTACATGCTGTTCTGTATCTGTAGAATAGATTGTGAAGCTGAGGTTATAGTTTCTACAGAAGTGTTAGAGATAGTGTGAGATATCAAGACTCCTGAACCATTTCCCACCACCCCTCCCTCAGGCGGAGGCTCCTAACCCACTGCTGAGCTAGCAGGAAGACTGTGTGAACACTCTGCATCCACTTCACATCCCTTGAACCGACTGAGTTCAAAAAGCAACCACAGACCATTTAAATTCAAAATGTAGATTCACAAGCAGAGGCCTGTGAGAGTTAGATGCTTGAAATTGGTCAGTCACCTCTGCCCCACCTTGGCTGGGAGGGTGATGCTGCAGCTACCTGATGGATAGCTGTCACCAGGAGGCAGGTCCTGCTCCCCCTCTTCTCTCCTCCCTGACCTCCTCCCCACCCTTCCTACTATCCTGCTTGACTGCTGGACTTGCCAAATGGTTACCTAAGGGACTAACAGCTTTTGCATGGAACTTTTGGCTGGTTCAGTTCCCTGAGCTTGTCCCTGATCACATCAGTGGCACAAGAAGAATGGTGAGAACACACATGCTGGTTTTCACTAATGGCCAAGTGATTGATTCCACTAATTTATCCAAGAGACAATGACAGAGAGCTGCTGGATAAAAACATGGCAAACATCCCTTGCTGAAGTGATTGCCTGGGGCTCTGAAAGGCTGACTAAATAACATTGAAGTTAATGACTTGTTCCTCACTGTGTTCACTGAGAAGTGAGATCAGGCCATGGGATCTGCTGGTGTGTCCCTCAACTCAGTTGCTGGGGACTTCACTGTCACAACTCACTATTAGGCATGTCCATAAAAGATTCACTGGATGAAGGACCTACATGATTTGCTTAAGGTCTCACATAAAGCAGGAAAAAAATGCAGATTAGAAGTGAAAGTTCCTGTTCACCTGACCTGTGTCCAATCCATGAAAATATTGTGCTGTTTCTTTAGCATGCAACCCCTTTTCAGTATATTTTTGTTCAGTACAGTAGCAGGGGGACTGGGGCTGTTACTGCAATCATGCAGTACTGAAGTAAACAGGCTATGCACCAGGTGGTTTTTATTACCAAGGAATGTAAGAAAGTCAAGGTTAAAATTTGAACATTTTTTTGTGCTATCTTGTTTGTGTGCACTGTTTTAAGACAGTTCAGAATATTCCCACCAGAGCTCTCTATGCTTTATATATTATTACAGAATTAGTGGTTGCTTAATTCAGACTTCAGGACAATAGATCACTGCAGTTTGTTTTATTATTGTTAGATTGGCCTTAGAAGTCTTTTCATTAAAAATGTTAACTGTGATTTCCTATAAACTCTTCTTTTTTTTTTTCTACAACCCTCTGAAAACTTGACATTTCTAGTTTGCTGACAGCATCAGAACCAGGTTGGCACACAACAGAGGAGGGAGGGTTTTGCAGTTTTTGGTCAGTTGCCAGCATCCACCACAAAGCTTTTACTTCCTTGGGAAGATAAATTCATTCATCAGGGTGGGAAGATCAGGCCAGAGTGAGATAGTCTCAAGGCCAAGATCAACAAATAGAGCTTAGTATCAAAGGATCCAGAATACAGCTTTTTGATATCCAGTAGGATGCTGTTCAGATTGGACACTTTTACACAATCTCTGTGGGTTTTACCCTGGGTGTGAGAGTAGAAAATTGCTGATAAAAGATTGTTGCTCCCTAAACTCAAAACTACAAAAGCATTTTAGAAAAAAAACAAAAGGCATTTACCTCAGTATTATTTTGAACTTTTCTGGACACTGCTTAAGCTTTTTGGCTTCTATTTGCATTCTTTCAGTGTAATCCTGCATCCAATTAATCAATTGGAAACACAGACCTTTGGCAAAAAACAGGATTGGAACGTTTTTCCTTATCCAATTGCTTGTCAATAAAGACAGAGGGTAAATACTGGGTTTTCTACTTCTAGGGAGCACAGGCTGCAGAGAGCGAATAAAAAATGCATTCCAGTGGATGAGGAATAAGAATCCCCAGAGATGTGGCATTTATTGGCAGTAGATCTTCCCTGAGTCCCCTCTGAGATTGCTTAGTGGAAAAGCAATAAAAAGTAAACATAGATAGCCCAGTAAGTGCCAGCTGAATGACTTGAAACCGTGCAAATTTTCTTCTCCCTTGAGCCAAGACCCCTAGATGACACATAGAGGGCAGTAACAGTGCCAGTGTAGAGGTCTCATGAGCCTGCTGCTTCAGCTGGCTGCTTCTTCCTTCTCACTGCCCAACTGTTGACTTCAGCAAAACTTCAGCTACCAAAGACAGAATCTGACCTGAACATTTCCAGGCATCTGAATTCTTAGTCATAAACAAATAGGCTATCCAAGCCAAGGATTTGCTCTCCATTTTCATTCATACTATTAAAATGGACAGTGGCTTCATGGTGTTCTCTCCATGCAAATGCTGGCTGTCATCTTGAAAACCAGAAGCAAGTGTTTCTTTTTAGCACTTTGCCATTGTCTATGGTCTTATCATATGTCTGGGGAAAAAAAAAAAAACCAAAGCAACCATGTATGGTTTCTAAAAAAAAAAAAAAAGCCATATTTTCTAAGTATTATCCTCCATTTTTGATGCTGCTGTGTGATTTGGTGTATCACATTATGAATTGTGTCACTAGGTATTCAAGCAGAAAAGTAGATAGTCAATCTAAAAGTGTTTGGTTTTTTTTCTTCTGGGCTTTTGTTTCAGTGACAGAGTTTGGTTTGTGCTTTAAAAGATCATGTGAAAGGACCTCAGGTTGATTTCTGCCAATCTCTCGATAAGCTTTCCACATTAAAACCTTCTTCAAACTTCCCTATTGGGATAACAGTTGTCCTGTTAGTTGTCCTGAATCTGAACTCTTATATACAGACTGAAAAATGTCATTTCATACAACCAAGCATTGAGGGAGGCATTCGGAAGGAAAGAGCTGCAAATGTGAATCAGATTTCACTTATTCTCTTCACACGTCCATAGCTTTTCCTAATTCAAGGTTAAAATACACCAATTACTGCTGCTTTCTATTCATTTGCACAGCAGGTAGCTATCTCCTCTTATTAACTTTCCCAAATGGTCTTGCAGGTTGTGAAACTGAAAGGTCAAGTCCTGTCTGTGATGTATCGTTTTCGTACCAAAAACCGGGAGTGGATGCTGATCAGAACCAGCAGCTTCACGTTTCAGAATCCTTACTCTGATGAGATCGAGTACATCATCTGCACCAACACCAACGTCAAGTATGTGCCTTTCTAGCTGCTCACATATGTTGTTTTGAAAGAATTCAAGCATTGCTTTTTGCTGTAAAGCACATTCCATTTTTTTGGTAGCGTGTTTCGAGCTGCATTTGTTTCTCTACAACAGTAAGAGTCCAAAATGGATTTTTTCTGCATCTTTGAGATCTCCCAGTGTAGCTGTTTCTCTGTGTCATTATCCTGTGATGCTTCCAGGGTCTGGCTGTGCTGGGGGAGAAACGTCACTTATCTGTTATGTCATTAGACAAGCCCATTGATCTTAGTCCAGAACTGCCTTAAACTAGCACAGAGTTTCCAGCAGCAGACCAGCTGGCCTGATATTGAATGAAGGTCGGCCTGATTCCTGAGCCAAAGAGAAAATTAAGTGTCTGTGTTCATTGTGATCATACTCTTCTGTAGTCCTGGGCATCTTCTTCTTGAGCTTTGTCTGCTCTTATGGCCTATGAAAGCTGGCAAAATTTAGTAGACACAAGTGGGAAGGGTTCCTAAGTTAAGATCTGGTGGAATATTCCCAGGTATGGGGATAGATCCAACCCCTTTCTTAAAAAGGAAATTAAATAATCCTGTCTTTGAATTCATACTTTCAAAAATCTGTCATGGGACCTCTTAGGAGAAGGTCATCCTAGGAGTGGAGGTTCATCACTGTGCAATTGAGCAGAGATGCTTTTGGAGCCTCCTGAGTTTCGAGCCAGTAACTGCAGAAGTTAATCTGGCCTTGGTAATGACATTGCTTTATAGTGTGGGGGTTTTTAATATGTATTTTTGCTTTCCAATATAAACTTAATCTATTTCTAACACAAAATCTGCCTCTGGTCTGACCAGAAGTTTTTTTGCCAAGATTTTAGCTAGGAGGAAATGATTGTTTTTAAGACCTCAGCCTGTTAAGACTGTATCGTGGGAATGCTGAATGAACAGTCCAGTAGTGGAGATTCATACTGAGAGCTCCACTTGCAAAACCAAATCCCTGGGGCTTTGGCATTTGGACTTAGAAAGCTGCTCAGTGTCTCATGGTGTTCCTTGACTTGCTCCTTTGGACATGGCACAGACCTGGACTAGAAGGGCTGTGCTTTCACTCGCTTTGAAACCCAGCATCGCAATTGTTTTGCTTAGTTTCTCTTGCATACCCCAAAAAATTAGGCTTAAATGACTAAACAGTTAAGCTAATTGAAAACAAGCAAATGTGTCTTGAAATCAGACAGCTAAATATCTCCTGTCTGCACTGTGCATCACAAGAGATATTTCCACATTTCTACTGTCCCGCGTTTCTTTTCCAAGTAATCTGTGTATGCAAAAACAGGCCTGCAAAATAAAAAGCAACTTCTGAGATGTGTTCCAGGATGGCTTAATTGTGCTTTGTTCCCAGGAGTCCACAGATCAAAAAGAGAGGCTGTAGACTTACGTTGTCTTGACTCTGGGAATGTTTTTCTCTGAGCATTCACTATACTGTTCAGCTTGGCATCCCAGCACTTGCTGTGGTGACTAGGACTGTGCCAGCTTCTGGCTCTTGCTAGGTTTGAATAACAACCAGAAATGTTGACCTAATATGGAAGCTGCCTGCTGCTACTTTGACAGAGGATGTTCCCTCTTTCCTGTCATGTAGAAAATGCTCTAGTCTTGTGGCAAGATACAACCCATTATACGTCTGCTTTTGAATAGCCGAAAGAGTGCATTATCCAAAATGTTTTCTGGTTTTGCCCCTGTTCCCTCCCACTTCTCAGAGAGATTTCCAAAGAGGACTTACTGTAATGTGCTGCCCTTCCTGCCAATTGCTGGATTTATTTATTTTTATTATTTTATTTTTTTTTTGCACATTTGGGGTTGTGTTCTGATTTCCAATTTTCTAGATGCCCTGGGGAGTACATCATGTACATCATGATGAATGTTGATTTCCACCTCCTCCCTCATCTCCTGCTGGGGCTAGATGCTCTGTACTGATCCCAGTGAGTGTGGCCAACTTTATATGTCAAAGAATCAGATGCTCTGGGTCCAGAAAAGTGCTTCACATGGACACCAAGAAGGGTCCTTTCAACTGCATGGTTGTAGGCAGTTCTGCACAGAGACAAATTTTTATTTGTTGTTGGGATAACCTAGCCAGCTCTGTAAAATACAGCTGTGAGGCAGTTAAAAAAATTATCATGAGATGATAACGGCAACATAACCAAAAGTTCTAGGTTTCAATCAGTTTTTAAGGTAAGATAGTTTAAAGCCACAGCATGTACATCTGTGTGTCTGTTAACAGAATACCTCTCATGTTGGTCAGTGAACAGTGTTTACCCAGAAGACTGTAGAGGGCAGTGGTGGTTCCAGTTGTGAAAGGATTAATTGATTATTTTTTTTTTTAATCTTTGTGTTGGTTTGTTTTGTGTGTTTTTTCTTTTCTTTTTAAAAGATATTCCTTTGGACCTTCAAACACTCAGCTTTCCAAACTTGCTTTTGGTGCAGAAGAACAGTGAAACATTAGGTTCAAATGTTCACTTAGTTCCTTGCAAAAAAAAGGAAAGAAAACTTCTCTGTTTCACTTGGGTATGGTCGTCCAAGAGAAACTTCCTGGAGAAACGAAGCATTTAATGTTCAGCATTTGTGCTGGGTTTGGCTGAAAGGAAGAGTCCCCTGTTTGACCACATCTGCCTGTGCAGTTGGAACTGTTTGGTTTCCAAAAAGAAATCATTATTGTGATCAGTGTTTATTTAACACATGCATAGAGCAGCGTTTGAATAAAATAATCTGTCTTGGTGATAGATAAATCTATATAAAAGTCTTTATATACATAGAAGAAAGATATTTTTCTTACCTCAGTGGAAATTTCGGTGTTTCATTTATGTAAACATCAAAGTCTTAAGTTGCACTGTGTGAATTTATGAATCCTACAGTTGTCCTGAGTCTCAGGATTCTTGTCTCGGAGTGAGCTGGCACAGGTCACTGCTGGAAGCAGCCGGTCAGATGAATCAGCCTGTGCTTGGGGGAGGCATACTTTCTGTTTTGGATTCTCATGGGCCAAAATACCAGAGATCAACTATCCTGGTAAAATTCTGGTTGATGGTGGTGGTGCTGAAGACTCAGTTTCTCAGGATCTCTCAGATCCCTCAAGGCCAGCGTAAGACAGACCCTTTTGCAGGGATGACGTGGAAACCGTAGCATGAAAGAGAGATTTTGAGAGTTTTGAAAGAGGATTTTACAGCAGCAGCTCCAAGGCTTCTATTAGTCCCTTATTGTCCAAACCAGACAGAGGAAGCACGTGTGCCTGTATTACATAAAAATAGCTTGGGAGGAATACAGTAGTATTGTTTTTCTGTCACCAAAGAGGCTGGCTAATTTTAAAGTTCAAATCCTTTTTTGGTTACTCTGAAGCCTGGAAATGGAACAGGTGACCTTGGTATTCATAGAGAGAGACTGAAATCCTCTACAATATTATAGGAACTTTCACAGAATCTGCTGGTTTCCTCCAAGTACACTTACTGAAGTAAATTTGAAGAAACTATCAAGTAACTATTGAAATAACTATTTGCTGAACCAATCCTTGTTCAAGCCAAGGGTTTTCCCAGTTTCATACCAAACCTGTGGGTGAGCCAGGAGTTCCTCCTGCAGTACAGGCAAGGTCCTTTGTTGACCCTGCCATGCTGGCTATCCAGTAATCAGGAAATATCTCTTCCCTTTACTCTTTGAAGCTGTGAAACTGAAATTGAAACCAAGGACAGCTTGGGTTTTGGTTACAAAATCTGAAGGCGGTTTGAGTTTTGCCCAAAATGCTTGTAAGTTGCAGTGGTAGATTTCAGCTCTTGTTCTGTATCATCTTTACAAAGACAATCTAGCAATGGGGTAACTGAAGGGACCTGCATGTCTGTTCAGTCAAAAGGGCTGGTTAGATGGCAAGGTCTGAAGCAACCACCTCAGCAGTGCTCACCTCTCCCTGCTCAACTGCCCCAGTTTCTTTCAGGCTTCAAGCATCATTTGAGCTATTTATACTATTTATGCTAATCACAGCAGAAGATGCTAACCTGGCTTCAGGTTTCAATCTAAAGTGCAGCAGAGCTTGCACTGAGCTCAGGGAAGGTGCACTTGAAGTATTAGGTGTTTTCACAGGAAATGGGTTTGAGGGGTTCAGTGCTGCTAACACAATGTGGTATATATATTGTACTGCAGCTTAACGAGTATTAGAGATGAAAGGTAGAGAAGGACAAAGGAGCACTAAGTTAGAGGTGCCTGAAAACAAATAACTAGCAAGTCTCCTGTTTTGTTTGGCTCATTTGTATGTATATGGCTGAATCAAGAAAACATACTTTATACGGAACAGAAGAGACCTAATGTGCTGTTTATTGACACACGCGCCAAGTTGTTGGTAATAAAAACAAATGAAACAGTGTAATTAGCTTTCACTTTAGCAACAGGATTTAATGGGTGTTTATTGTCCACAGGGTGGTATTTAGAAAAACTTCCCCATAGATTTGCCATAATTAAATTACCTCCCATAGTTCTGTTGGAAAAATATGCATTTTATGCTTGTGAACAAGGAATTTCTCTGCATACCAGAGGTAATTTTTAGGAATCTTCTGTTGGCTAAAATAATGTGGAAAAGCTGTGGTGCTCTAATGACCTGGAGGATGGATTATTTATTTATTTTTTGCATGTTAATCATAGCACAAAAGTGATTTTGTGTATGAATGTGTTCAGACACCGTAAGGCTAGCATAATACTTTTGGCCATCTACTCTGAGCTTCTGTTTGTTGCAGGTCACAGAATTTTGTCCAGTTTGCCATGGAGCCCAGTAACTGGTGTCTGAGCAAAGTGTCTCATGGAAAAACATGAAAGGATGGAAAAATCTGTCACTTCAGTAGCTTGTTTGAATGGTCCCTCACATTCCATCAGTTTGTGCCTCATTTGTCGTTTGACTTTGCAAGTTTGTCTCTCAGGCCTTTGACTTTTGAATGTATCTAGCTCATAATTTAGAAGATTTGGATAAAAATCTAAAATTCCGTCTTGTGGCCAAAAAAAATCCTAGTTTTCCAGAGTTTCAAATCCCTGATCTTGCTGTTTTGTAAAATCTGATCTATTACTGCTTGTCACATTAATGATTCTCTCTTCTTTGCTTACTGAGCCAAGGGCCTCCCAGAGTCAAGGTGCTGGCTGTGCATCCTCAGGCCAGAAGTAATCTTGCTGACTGTGGCTAAGTGACAGAAAGCAACTGGTAATGGAAGGTGCAAAACATTTTGGTAATTTCTCAGGGTGTTTTTTGTCATTACACAGGCAGTGTTCCTTATACAGTGCCATGGCAGGCAGCTCCCAGCTTCACCCTTGAGACTGGGTCAGTGCCCTTTGTGGTGTTGACCTGTGCCAGAGCAAGGGACTCTGCCTTCTCCATGGAAGTGATGCTTCTTCAGACAAGGGCTGTGGCAGAGCCTTTCCTGTTTACAGGGAAATCTCAGGTTGTTGTGCCTTCATATCAGCTGTTGGCTGCAAACTGCTTTCATCACAAAGTTGTGGAGTGAAGGTGGTGCCGTGGCCGTGTTGTTCACAGCCTGGACACAGCTCAAACCAGGGCTGTGCTGGCAAGATCCTGTGGCTCTCCTGCTCTGCCATCCCAGCTTGAGGCTGGGACAATGCTGGGTTTGTCTGGCTGCAAACAGTCACACAAACCTGTGTCACACAAACCTTAGACAAGTGAGGTTCCTGATGACCCAGTATGGGGATGGTGTAAGTCCAAGTAAGAAACTTCATATTGTAATAGTAGAATTCTGGTCCTAGTGCATCAACAGCACTTTAGCCTTTCATGTCAAAAGGACTGGGCTTTATTTCTGAGAAGCTGTACTGCACAGTGGATTTCTCTGTAGTTGTTGTGTTATAGTGACTTCAAAATTTCCAATAGTAACAAGCTAACTGTCTCTGATTTTTATTTCTTGTTAAATTAGGAGCTTTGCATTTGTGTCCTTTAAAAATTAAAAAAAGCAAGTGAAGGAATAGATTCAGAAGGTCAGTGTGCTAGATATAGTGCAACTATATAAAGGATCTGTACGTGTTTATAAGTAACAGTATTTGCACATGGAGAATGTAAATGTGTGGGACTTATTACCACTTGCCTGCCATCCTACAGGTCACTTGTCAGTTAATTCTTGTGACTTTCAGTGATGTCATCTGTTAATATTGGCTAATTGTGGTAGTTAAGTAACAGCTCCTGATACTAGGCACAAATCAAAGACATTGCATGGATCTGCAGAGTTTTCAACACTAGAGTTCCTCATGGTGACATACAGCCCCTAATGTTTATTGGCTCTGGCTGGCAGTTCCCTTTAATTACTTTTCTGTTGTTTCTGCACATTTATTTCTTCCTAAATTCATATAATTGGATTAAGGGTATTACTTCCAGTGATTTTTATCTCATTTAAACAGCAGATATTTTTTGTTCAGTTCTGATTAGCATAAAAAGGAGACTTAGGGTTTTTTTGTAGCATTTGTCAACACAAAGTGATTTTATGTAATACCTTAATTTTATATAGTACCACAAGCAGTTTCTTTCTGGACATTCATTGCCTTAAAAAACTTTCAAAAATTTAATAGAATCTGTACTTGGATCCTGAGGAGATCAGGTTTTGTTACAAAGCAGAATTTATATGCAGTTCTTTCTAGCTCAACAGGTTGTTCCATTTGGATGTGTTTCAGACAGATTTTTTGATGACTTTCTTATTGCCCGTGATAATTGTGTGTTAATATTACTGGAGGTTTCCTGTTTACTTCAATAGGATCAGTGAAGGGGTGTGGTAGGTTCATCATTAACAAGAGGAAGACATTCTTGGGGTCTTAATAGTGAATTCTTAACTCTTTTATAAGGAGGGTGTGTTCCATCCTACATTTCTTACCTACTGACCTTGCTGTGCTATTACACCAAAACTCTTTCTGTGCCCTGTTACATTCTTGTGGTGCAAGCTTTCTTAATGAGAAAGCTTTAAAAACAGATATCTTCCCAGGAAAGGATTTACAAAGTCACCTGAGAGATATTTCACTTGACGTTTGAAAGAGGAGACTATTGTTGTTCCTTTTTGTATCGTAATTGGGTTTTTTATCACTGTAATTTTGTCTCCTTTGCAGACAACTTCAGCAGCAGCAAGCAGAACTTGAAGTACATCAAAGAGATGGGCTGTCCTCCTACGACTTATCTCAGGTGAAATTTCTCAAATGTTTAGTTTTGTGCCTCTGACCTTTTAACACGTAAAGCAGTGGTAGATTTCAGCGAAATTAAAAAGACATCCTGACTGTCCCTGAATGGCTTTTCACCAGGTATGACAGTGAATTACCTTCCTCTGTGTATCTCAACAGGTGCCTGTTCCAAGTATACCAGCTAATGTTCACGAAGGTGGAAAGTCTGTGGAAAAGCCTGATGCTATTTTCTCCCAAGAGAGAGATCCTAGATTTGCTGAGATGTTTGCTGGAATAACTGCTTGTAAGTGAATGTCTCTGATGTTTTAATTTTTAATACTATGTTAACTTGGTTACATCATGTGGAGCACAGCTTCAAGAGAATGAAGAGGAACTACAGTGTGGCAGGGAAATTTCCAAGCAACATCAGTCTTCAGAACATTTCCCAGAATTTGCTTTTAGTCTGTATTTCCCCTAAATATGATAAGGAGTAAATTCAAGGAGGGAAGGACAACTTTCATGTCACCAGAACTACCTATTTTTTATTCTCTTTTCACAGAACTTGCTCTTTCTGAGTATGTATTTTCTATCTTAAACAGTGGATATGAGTTCATCTTTCTAGAGAGACATGGATTAAGAAAGTTACCACATAGTCTTAAAATAGGCCAGCAGTCTTTTATCAAATCAGCAGCCTTTGCATTGATACTTCCAGAGGCATGTGCTGTCTTGAAGGGTAATGATATACTTGTTTTCTGGTCAGTTGAGACATCTCCTGCCATGTTACCTGTCACTGAGTCCTTGTTCTTTTTCTCACAACTTTTGAACTTGTTGCCAAGTTCTTGTAAGAGTGATAGGAGTCTCAGAAATAGTGTTTTCTTCTATATTTTGTGAAAATTTCTGTGAGGACAGAGTCCTTTACTGAGTACCCTCACTGAAGGACTTCCCAGCCCTGTTCCAAGGGGTAGCAGCCACCTTGCCAGTCGGGCACATGTAGCTGATTCCAACCAGCCTCAGCCTGTGCTGCCTGTTGCCCTAACAGGCAGAAGTCGTTGAGAAGACTGGTAGCTGAAGGGATCACCCAAAATATACCTCTAGGAAACCAGGCTCATTAATTCCACTACTCATGGATGAATTCAGTAATTATTTTTTTTTAACTGTCCTCACTGAAAAAGAGAAGTTTTTACATTTGTTATAAATAAATCAACGTGTAAGTGTCACACAGGGCATGAGGGTAACAACCCACAGGCTTTGACTCCAGGGGTGCTGAGAGGTGACATCTCTGCCTTGTTTTCATGTCTGGCTTGGTCTTTTCAAATGGAGAGAGCACTGTAACTGCAGGATGGACTCAGTCCTCCTGTTGCTGAGAGTTCTCTCTTACTCCTGTTCTTCCTTGTCTGTCTTCTCTAACAGTGAAGTCAACAGCAGAGGCCATAAAAGGTATGAGAGCGGAGAGTAGCAAAACTCCATCCCTAAACACTGAAATATGTTTTTCCAAGCAAGAACATCTTGCTTTTTGGCTGCCTTATTGGCTCTTTTTCAGGCAGCTCTCAACTGTTTGTGGGTAGGGGTTGGGGTTAAGGGTCTAGCAAGCTGTGAGGTAGCTGGGAGGTTATGTTCTTGGAAATGCCATTTCTCTCTTCATTCTCATCAATTTACAGGCTGTGCTTTTTTTGGGACACTCACCCTGTCTGAATTTCTCATGAGAGCTGTGATCAAGATCTCCTCTGAACGATAAAAAGAGATGGTTCACAGCTTGAGATGAGAAATGCCATCCAAAACCAATATTGACAAACCTTCAGGCTGCCTCCAAGACATTTGCATTACGTTGATACCCAATCTCGTTCTTTGCTACATTCAGTAAAAATAGAGGTTTGACACATGGAAATTGTTGCCCTGATCGTTGCAGTGGCCACACAATTAGAAACCAAAAGTGGGGAGAGGAAGCCTGGCACAGTCATGCAAGAGTGCCTTGAAGCACAGGATGATGCAGTTCTTACAGAGGTCTTCATTCTACAGGCAGCAGCACTGGCCCTGCTGGGAGAAGGGCAGAGCATTGACCAGTACAGTGATGGGATCCAGAAACAGGTCTAAAGATGCAGTTAAAGCAGCAAAACAAAATAAGTTTTCAGTGCTGTACCAAAGGTGAGGACAGAGAAGTAGTGCTTGAAGTATTGAGTGGGAACAGCTGGGAGAGCTGTGGGGCAGATTCAGAGGCTAAAGACCATTTGATGTAACTCAGGAAAGAAATCTTAAGCAGATTTAGCTGCTTGTGATTAGTTTAGCAGTTTCCTTTGCCTTGGCCTCATCCTGCAGCACAGATCCCATAGCTGCCGTGACAACTCTGCTCCACTTGAGGAATTCCAGTTCACTTAGGACAGTCAATTTTGCTGGTGAGTTGTTCTCTAGTATCTAAAGTACCTGCAGGATTTTGGCTCAGTCTCTTCCAACCTTGTGGGCTTCATATCCCTGTAAAGAGTGGCCTTAGAAAATCAGAGATCTTGTGCAAGAATGAAACTACAGGAAAAAAAGGCAAATTCATCTGTTCTTCTTAGAGAAATCCCAACCCTTTCTCAATTCTTCCTACCACATATACAACCTCCTCTAGACCCTGTCTCTGTTTCTCCTTGGTGTTTTTTGTATGAGAGTGTAGATTTGCCATCCAGACTTGGTGTCTGGGTTGGGCACCAAGGAATATCTTTGAATTTCTACGTGATAAAGGAAAAACAATGACAACTTGTCTCAGTGGCTTACATGCTCCTCTGAGGCTCCTGGAAGGAAATTTGAGGTGACTTTTTCCTTTGGGACAGTGAGCTTAGATTCTTGTTAGGAACACAGGATAACAAGAACTTATGTGGCAGAGAGGAGCCAGTATGTGTTGGAGGCCTCTGGTGAGTCCTGCTCACAAGGTCACTGAAAACCAGGAAAAACTAAAAAAATACTTGTGTTACCTGGGAATTGAGTGGGCCTTGTGCCCAGGAGAGGAGCTTGTGAAATGAGTGGGAATCTGAAAAGAGCAAAAAGGGAAAATGTGGAGGCAGACTTGGTTTTTAGTCTGTCAGAGGTGTTTAACCACAGATGGTTGTAAAGTCATCAGCGAGTTGTGGGGTGTTCTGCACTTGGAGGTGGGAAGAGAGGATGGGGAAAGTGAGTTAAGGGTGGTGGAGCAGACCTTTACAAAAAGTAGTAGTAGTGAAGTTTCTTTTAGCATAATCCAGTGCCAGAAAATTAAATTAAGGGACCAAATGGCATTGTTCAACCAATCTAATTTCATTCAATTAGAGATTGGTCTCCAGTTGTCACATTAAGAGAAGACTATAAAAGTTAATGGCATCTCCATGTGCATGTTGTTCGCTAAGCTAGTCTGTCTTACACCCTACTGGGATGCTTGCATCTGGTTTCATGGGTCCCTCAATCCACATGTAGGACAGCAAAATTCATGATAAACCAGTGTCCTGCCTTGCCACAGCTCAGGTGTGTAAATCTTGCAGATGCTTGGAAGCAAAGTGCCTCCAGCCACCTGTCAGGTTGAAACACAGGTGAGGCTGCAGGATCACCCAGGTTTGCAGGTGGTCCCCCTGAGAGCTGCAGGTGTGCCACCAAGCTGCTGGGACAGGTGGGTACTCCCCTGGGGCTGCCCTGGAGGGAAGCAGGCTGGCAGCTGGTTAGGGCAGGGGCAGTTTTACACCGTTCCTTGGGATGTTTAACCCAGTGGGCTGCTTCCTCAGTGCAAAGAGGCTGCAGTAACAGCAGCAACCCTGAAGGGCAGCTTCTGGAGCCAGAAACATACCCTTACCCAAGGCCATCCCCAGGTAGGCCACAGAGGATCACATGCATCAGACCAGGCTTGTTCCATGTGGCTTTCCTCCGTTCCTCTGGGCAGACTCTATCATCCAGAAAACCTTTGCTCCTCTGCCCAGTCCATAGCTGGCACCCATCACTGCCCACCTTGGCTAGAGGTGCTCCCTGTCTCGTGTTCCCCCTCCTGTCTGCATGGTTGGGAGCAGCTTCCAGCAGGCACAGGGAGGTGAGGGCTGCATGGCCCAGGGCACGTAGCACTGATAGTTCTGTGCAAACAATAGCGTGGAGGAAGTACATCCTGGGAAGAGTGTATGAACTAGACACAAACCAGCTGTGCCTCTAGATTCAGACTGAATTGTCACATAGCCCTTTTGTGTTGTTCTTCAAATGTTCCACAGGGCTTCTCCATAAAGCTTTAAGAGGGGAAGACCAGTCCTTGCTGTGTGTACATATGTTGTGATTTTTGTTAACTAATTTTGCCTTCGTTTTCTAATCCCCTAAACTTTCCTCTTTCTGTGATTTGTTTTTCTTTTGTAGCAGATAAAAAAATGATGGCCTCAGCATCCACAGCAGGAAACCAGCAGCTTTACTCCCAGGGAAGCCCATTTCAGCCCGGACATTCAGGAAAGACTTTCAGGTATTGTAGTCCAGATCCTGATCTTACCAGCTTCTGTCTGACAGTGGGGGCTTGTTCATCTCTGGTCTAGTGGAAACAAAACTAGTCTCAGGTGCCAGGGCTTTATTTACATGAATCAGCTTTGCTTTGCCTACACTTCACTCCTCCATGATGTCTCAGACCATAAGCTGGGCTTACAAACTGAATGAGTTGAATCTCTGAGAGGTGATGGGGCAGGCTCAGAGATCTGAGGAGTATTTAGGCAAGCTAGGAAGGTGCAAAGATTTGTTTTGTATTTAGAGCTGTCAGTACTTCTACAGACTGCTTAAAGGGCATCAGTGGACACCTTATTAAAGGGAACAGAGGGATCCTTCATCCATGCTCTAGAAGTTATAGTGGCTAATAATCTCAGTAGGGAGAAATGAAGTCCCTGTATGTGTGTTCTGTCAAATTAAAACAAAGAACAACTTGCAGGAGATATGACAGTAAATTAACGTCTTTTAATTGGATATGGTATATTTGCCATCTTGGAGTTTGGCATGTGTTTTGTTAATTCCTGATGTTTAACTATAGCTTTTTTCCTACTGCTGTTCTGTTACGTCAAGTAATGATGCATCTGCCAGAATCCCATCCTTGATTAACTGTCCTCCTTGAATGCTCTTCAGGCTGGTTCATTTGGTCACTAAGCCTGGGCAGCCTTTAGGCACCATTTTGTAGACTCCTGGTTTCAAAGTATTTATTCCAGATGCAGCCCAAGCCCCTTAGATAGTGGGCTGGGAAGGTGTTGGCAGTAGGGCTTCCCCTCCCCAGCAGCTGTTGTGTCCATCTGAGTTCAACCAGATTTTAATGGTCTTTCTGGTCCATGTTTCCCTCTTTGGAGGGTCTGGTAGTAAAAATTATAAATAAAATAAAAGTAATAAAAATCAAACTCTACAAAGAATTTCTAAACACACACTTTGCTTTCAGGCAACTTATGAAAGACAGAACAACAACTCCCAAATTCAAATGCCTGCCACGTTTTGCTTACCACTCTGGGAGGGATTTTGTCAGTCTTCTCAGAGGATTCAGATTCCTGCTTCCTCTGTGCTCAGCCTTGTTTACTTCTTTTCCCAGTCTGTTCTCTTCTTTCTCTGTAAAATGATTGTGAGAGTAGACAATGGGGAAGGGACTGGAGAAACGAGCAGGCGGCTTTTTCCATGGAGGCACAAAAGCATTTTTCTGTGTTGTGTCTTCATTTATATTCATTTATATATGACATGTTAAATCATAACTATTTTAAATATATAACTATATATAAAAGCACACTGGCAATGTGTGGTTATACAGATTCAGGCGTTAACAATTTCTATGAGAATAAAAGCAAAAAGTGGAGCAATCCTGCTTAAAATTTTTCTTTTAATTAGGAATTCCTGGGAAAATTCTCACTAGTGAAATTAGGAAACAGGTAACATATAAACAAGTTCCTTTGGAAATACTTTTTTTTTTTTTCTTTGATTCCAAAGCTATTACATTAGCTTGAGTTTTTGTCTTGATTATTCTTTTGCCTGGGTATATAAGTCTGTGCTCTTTTTTAGCATCAGTTGGTGAAAACTGGAATTAAAAGCTCAAATTTTTCATATGTAACAAACACTTTATCATTTCTCAGGCAGGAAAGAAATAAAGAAGAGTTCATAAGTATCAGCTTCTTTAGCATCTTCCTTTAGGATGGCATTTAAGCAAATGTTTCAATACTGTTGACTTTAAGAAAAAAACTGATGAAGTACCTGCTTGAGTACTCTCTGCAAGCAGGTTTTGTAATGTATTAAGTCATAAACTCTTATGGAGCAAAACATTTATGCACCATGTGTTAGACTGATTTTATTCTTGCAAGTCCTTTCCAAGAGATTATAGGAGTCTAATTCAAAATAATTTTGCCCTCTGTGTCTGTTTGACGTTTTAGAATGCCAATATGTTTCCTAGTTTTGTGATGGTTTTAGGTAATTTTTTATTTAGACAGATCAAACGATTATTTTTAATCTCATTATCAGAACTTTCATATCTGTGCCTTGAGAATATATCCTACAAATGAGCCACTATTTCTGTTCCTTCAGTTCATCTGTGGTACATGTCCCTGGTGTGAACGACATCCAGTCTTCTTCATCAACGGGCCAGAATCTGACACAGATATCTCGCCAGCTAAACCAGAGTCAGGTTGCCTGGACAGGAAATCGCCCACCGTTTCCAGGACAGGTATGGATTAAAGGTGATTTATTTTCATGGTCAGGAAAGATTTGCAATCTCTGTGCTTTTAAGAAGAAATAAACAATCCGTAAACCCCATTTGTGGTTGGAGAGAAATCAGTTCCTCCACGTCTGTTCCTTGGCAGGTAGTTTGTGATGGTGTTCACAATAGTGGCAGTTGCTGCACTGACATAAATCCTAGGGGAAGTTTTCAGTCCTGCACTTACTTTTATACTTAAACTGAATGAAGTGGAAGGAGGACCACTGTTATGCTTTAGTACTGAGCCTGTGCATTACATCTTTCTTGGACCAAGAGCTTGCACCCAGCAATGTTACCCACACTCAGCAGAGTTGTCAGAAAAGGGCACATAAAAATCCAGGCAGGAATTCAGGGCAGGGGCTCTTTAGCCCCTTGCCTCTCCATTGGCAGTACCCAGTGTAGCTCACACTGTGTGCTGGAGGAAGCAGCACATCCCTCCATCAGATGCCCTGTGCTTCACTGTGGTAACCCAGAAATCACCTCTTGTTCTGTACGACAATAAAAAAATTGGTTTGAAACTCTGTTAAAGACAAATAATATGAAAGAATAATGTTTGATCTATAATTAATGCTGCTCTTAATCACTCTTGACTTTCCATTGTCCAGCAGGCTAGAATGGCATGTTGGCACAGGCACTAAAGAATTTTTCAGTAGCTGAATTGTTTCCACATTAATCACTGATGCTTCCCACCCCTCAGTGTGCCACAGTTATTTTGTCACACCTGTTCAATGAAGTCTGGTCATAACATTAGCTTTTTTTGGTAAATTGTATGGAGGATGCTAAAAATTACCAAAAAAACCCCCAAAATGACTGATCCCTCTTATTGTCCAAATTCTATCCAAGTCAACAGAGTTCAGATGTGGCTGTAAGCCAATTGGTAGTCATTCATCCATCATAAATAAAGTAAAATAGAGCTAAGCCTTGCATTAGTGGCACATCATGCTCTCAGTATCATTGTGGAAGCCTTTAGAAATGTAGGATTTCTTCTCTTGGAATGGAGCAGAAGATCTAATGGCATCTTCTTGTTATGTGCCTGTTGGGATCTGTTTTACTCCCAAAGCCCTCCTGCGTGTGTCCAAGAGAATAGCTTCACTGGAGTGCACTGATTGGCAATAACAGTGAACACTGTTAGGAGCATCCAGAGATGTAATCACCTTCAATTTCTGTTTGAGGAATTGAAACTGCTGGATTTGTTCATAAAGCAGGAAGTGGTTTATAAGTGGATTCTGTCTGTAGCCCATGACTTTGGGTGAGACACTGCACCTGCCTTCCTCTCAGTGGACGTGTTGTACAGATCTCAAAGCAGCCTTGCAGTGTTTAATCATGTGTGTAACATTCTTGAAGATCCTATGACAAAGCCATTATGTAGATGACATTAACAGCAAGGTGGTTTTTAATACCCTTCAATTGCCTCACCTGCCCAGTTAAAGCAGTCAGACTCTTTCTTCCTTCCTCCCAAGGCTGATGATTCACACTCCCACTCCCTCCCAAGCCTTTTACAAGGCAAAGTAACTGCTGCCTGTAATTCTTAGGCAGGAAGAGAAGGCAGCTCATTAGCTTTAAAACTTCTTTGGTCATTTACCCCCAGGCACTGCAGACTCTGATCATGTGAGAACTGCACAGACAAGACATTCATATAACTGTGATTTTACTGTGGCACTGCAAATAAAAACAATAACTGGCAAATGAAAATGAATTCTTAATACCTGTTCAGCTAGAGATTAATTCCAGTAATAGAGGTGAATAAAATCATGTTTTTCCAAACAGTTCCAATATGGAGTACATGTGAGTTAATCAACAGGAGAGCTGTAAGTCTTGCTTTGTGGTCTTTTGTGTTCCTTATGCAGCAATAAGTTGGCTTTGACAGAAATGAAATACAGCTGAGGCAGGAATAATGTGCCTGTTCACATCTGCAGAGCTTATTTTTAGTCTTTACGTTGATTAAAAGGTGAGTCTGCTGTGCTGTTCCTCTACAATAAAACTCCTTCCTTTCTTCTACATCTTATTCCTCAGCAAATTCCATCTCAGTCTGGCAAGGCTCAGTCATCTCCCTTTGGGATTGGAACAAGTCATACCTACCCAGCTGATCCATCATCCTACAGTCCCCTTTCCAGCCCAGCCACCTCTTCTCCAAGTGGGAATGCCTACTCCAGCCTAGCAAACCGAAGTGCAGGGTTTGGTGAGTTTGAAATGACACAACACTGAGATGCACATGAAAATTAAAACTCTCCGGCATTAACTTCATTAAAAATCCTTCAGTGTGTTCCCTTGATGGGTCAGTTGGGAAGCTGGGGTGATGAAAGGGTTTTTCTTTCTCCTGTTGAGGACAATGAACAGAAATTGCCTGATCCCTCCGTGCTGCATCTTCTCCACATCCAACATACTTGAGAATATCGTGGTGTTTTGCAATATGAGGGAACTTCTTTTTTATTCAGTAAATAGTGCAGTGAAAGATTCAAAAGTTTCTTACACCACTAGTATACATCCTATCTAATTGTGGTTAGCAGGTTCAGTTTCTTTTTACTTCTCAGGAGAACAATTCAATAGCACAAATTTACATTTTTCTCAACTTCCCTGACTGCATGGCTGTGTCCTCTTGCCCAGACATGGCTTGTTGGAGTTTGGCTGGAGACAGGTATTTTTCTACCCACACTGCTACTAACCTCATCAGAGCAGGTGCCAGGTTTTGAAATTGTTTTCTTTTCCTACTACATGCTAATTTAGTGGCTTTAAGACCGTGACCCAGTGGGTGACCCCCCAGATCTGTTGTGGATCAGCCTCATGGAGCACAGACCTATGCTGCCTTGCCCAGAAAAGTGCATTCAGAGACAGCTCTTCCCACAGAGCTTATTCATGCTTCTATTTCCATTTTCACCAGGCTTTGTACATTTGTTTATGAGACAGCCTTACATATCAGGCCTAAGCTACTTGGCAAGAGCCCTTTCACCTAATGAGAAACATTTTCTGACCTACATCAGCTTGGATACTATAAATAACACAGCCTTCACAGGGGGGAATGAATGTCTTGAACCTCTGGCTGTTGCTGAAAAGAGGCATCATTTGCCTCACTGGGTTAATTCCAATGTATTGTTCTGAGAAAAAAAAACAACCAAACAAACTTGCAGCTTTCTTTTAAAGGATAACTTAGATGAGTTTTGTTTTGGCCCATAAAATGGCTGCAGGGTTTCTCAGTCAGCTGAATTATGGGTTGTGGTAATGTCAGAAAGGGAAGAACTATAATTATCTACTTCAGATGTGATGGAAATAAGTCCCTGCAGCCTGTTTACTGTCCTGTAAAATCTGCACTTTATCTGTTTTGCATGGCTTAGCTGGTGTTTTGAAGCACATGTTTCTGGGTTTTCTGAAGCCATAACTATGAGTAGTGACTGATTTGACTTGACCCAGTCTGGTTATTGGAGACCTGACATAACACGTATGTGGAAGCTTGGCATGGGAAATTGGGCACCCTTGGCAGAAGGTGCTGATAACTGGGGAGAACCAGATCTACCCAGCTTGGTGCTCTGCAGTGAGGGGAAAACAGGCAAAAACACTGGGAGTAGTTAGAAAAAAAGGGAAAAAAAGAAAAAAATGCTAGGAGGAAAAGCATAAGCCTGGTGGCAAGGTTTTTAAAATACTCATTCTTAGAAGGAGACTTCAATTTTCCTTCAATTATTTTCAAATTGTTTACATCTGGGGCCAGTTATTAGAAATGCTGGATATAATTAGTCCAACTTAAGTGTGACTTGTGACTGCACTCATGAAAAATCTACGTGTAATAGGTGACCAAATAAATTTGTGTGGCATCATGTGTTTTCCTGGTAGACTATTTAGAAGAAATTTATCTCCCTGAATTACCATTTAAAGTGTATTTACCCCAAAACCTTGCTGTTCACATTACTCCCTGTGAAATTTAAATGGCCTCAGACTTCTAAGAAACCATCACTTTATGAACAGGATAATAATTTGCTACAAGCTGCATGGTAAATAAATAATTGTTCAGCTGTAATATTGGAGGAGGAGATAGTCTAGCAAACAAAACTGCATTTAGTACAGCAAAGCTGCTTGTTGTCTGTTGATGTTACTGGTTTTATACCTGCTTACAAAATCAGAAAGTGTGTTTCTTAGATGAGTAGGTAACTGTGCACCCACTGCTCTGCAAGAATTAATCTTTTAAAGAGAAAGAGCATTCAGATGATGCAATTTGGTTTTTAAGTGAAATGGCAAATATTCCTTATTAGTGATAAGGAATTAGAGGGTGGGAGATGCTTGAAAACTGTCTCCCAGTGCCTGGCTGTGGTGTCACTGTGTTTTGCTTTGAGCAATTCACCTGCCCTGTCTGTGCAGCTGCAGCAACCAGCTTTGCTCTGGGCTTGGCCCCCACCCTGCACTCAGGGCTGAACCTCCCTTTGGCTTCCAGCCCCCAGGGTCTGGGTGTCACCAGGGTCTTCTTTCTAAGAGTCATTTGCACATGCAGTGGTGGATGGATGAAGCCTCAAAAGCAGGCAGGTGTTTTGAAGGAGCTGCTCTCTGACTTCTGCCCTTTCTCCCCCATCCAGCTGAAGGTGGCCAGAGCAGCAGCCAGTTCCAGGGGAGACCTTCTGAAGTCTGGTCCCAGTGGCAGAGCCAACACCACAACCAGCAAAGCAGTGACCAGCATTCACACCCACAGCCCAGTCAGACCGAGGTCTTCCAGGTGAGGAGAGTTCACTGCCCCAAAGTCCCTCTGACAACTTCTCACAGCAGAGTGTGAGATCCATGTCCTTGGTGACCAGAGTGATGCAGGGCTTGGAGCAGGTCCCTCTTGCTGTGTGCTGCCACAGGTTTGCACTGCTATTAGTTGGCATTAGCTGCAGCTGAGATGGTTTTGTTTCCTGCCAAAGAGGAGAATCTTTGTTAATTTAAAATGCCATTTTCCCTGCTCTTTGCGCCCTGTACTTAAGGCTTCTGTGTTTTCAGGGAAGCCATGAAATAATCCCAAATGCAGTGTTTTTCTCTTCCTGGTGCTGGCCTCTAAAATCCCAGTCAAGTCCAATTAGGCATCAGTGTAATTCTCTTCAATAGTTAAGCAGGAAAGGAGTCTGATACTGCATAGAATGTAGCAGCCAATAATTTTTAAAGTTAAGCCCAGACAGATAACAGGTAGCTGATAAACAGTCCTCTTCAACTACCTAGTTTTGTAATATTAAACAGAGCTTTGGGCCTTCACTACAGGTGGAGTGGGACTTTATAAGTTAACGAATAACCTCTATTTTCTTGTATAAATAGTTTTTTCTTATAAAAAAAATTGGATCAAGACAGTTTTAAACTCAGACAAATGCAAAAAAGACAGTTCAAGCAAGGTTTAGAAGTGGACATCTCATTATCTTTTAGAAAATACATTCACCTGCAAGACCAGGCTTGTGCTCAGTTGCTCACAGGAGCACTGCAGAAGAGACTTTAGCCTGAAAATATTCCTGTTCCTGTGGGAACAAATGGTTGCTTCACACAGGAGCAAATAGCATCTGGAATAACAGCCTGTCTGCATACTCTTACCCCATGGCCCAGGCATGATTTGCCTGTTGCATCTCTCTCTGTTAGCAAAGCATGTTTGTGCTTTTCCCAAAAGCATTTTTCAGGGTCATTCTGGTGGAGCCAATGGGAGTGTGGTTTGATGGCCCAGAGGGACACGGGGTTCCAAGCAGCATCTTGCTGGTGTCTCAAGCAAGTGCAGTGTCCCACCAAATGTCTAATGAGATTACTGGGAAGGAGGAGGCCCAAGGCAGAGCTGGGCTCACCTGCAGAGCTCTTGGAGGTGACTGTGCCTTTGGAGAGAATTAGGATAATAGCTGGATGTGATGAGAAGCTTGGATGAGCTCACTTCAGAGGCCTCCAAGAAGCTGCTCAGACTGTTTGTGCCTGAAACCAGTCCTGGGTTAGCTGGACATGAGAGGAGAGGGGGGAGCTACCCTGCCAGGTCTGTACCTGAGGATACCTTGCCTCAGTAGACCCCAGCACCAGAATTGCCTTCAGAGATGGAAATTTAAACAAGTGGGGGCAGCTACAACTTCCTCCTGGCTGGAGAGGAATGTGGGAAAACAAAACACGTGTGAGTTGTGGTCAGAAAATGAAGCTGGCTCTGGAAGCTGAGAAATTGCCAGCTGTGTTCACAGCTTCTTTCACCACCATCAACAGGGCTGCTACAGAGATCTCAGAAGGATTTTGGGATAAGTTCTCAGCACATAGCAACTCACAGTAGTTATTCCTTCACAGAACAGATGCTGTGAGCTTTCTTATTTGCTCTTTAGGCTTTGTTTTATTTTAAGAATAATGAGCCATCCTTGGCAAGACTTGGCTTTGCAGTAAGAGCTTATTATTGCAGGGACTCACAGGAAAAGCAAGTGCAAACTCTGTTTTTTTCAGTAAGGGATATATTTTCCCAGTGGCTTTGGTCTCCAGCTGAGAAGAAATGCTGAGTATTTTTTGAAGCCTCCCACAGGGACCTCATGGGGCTCAAGACGCGTGGGGGCAATTACCACAAAATCCCATTTCTTCTGTGAAGTTCCTGCTGTTTCCTCTGCCTTTGTACATGCACTGGGCATCTTGTTAGCTGGGGTGGATGTCCAGTCTTTAGTGTTCTTCAGAGGTTAAAGAACAGTAATACCTTTGCTTAGAGTGCTGATGAGGCAGTGAGACCCTCCCCAAACCCATGTTTTTACAGCAGGAACTCCTGTCTGTTGTGTGCAGGAGTGTGTGGGGTGTGAAATACTTCCCATCTAAAAAACCCAGTATGGGATAGCTTGTATGTGCCTTATGCAGAGGAGCAATCCCAAACTTCTGCCCTGTTCAAGTCCCACCCCCCATTCAGAAACATTCCAGCGAAATGCAAGCGGCACATAAACCCCCAGCCCAGGTCTGTTTTTCACCTTCTTTATCTGACCCTTTTCTGGTTTTACACTGAAAAGATGAGCAGGAAACAGTTTGTGTCTGGATAACTTGTTAGCAAGTGACACTTGACTTTGATTTTTCCTTATCATGCAGGACATGCTGCCCATGCCAGGGGATCCGACGCAGGGAACTGGCAATTACAACATTGAAGATTTTGCTGACCTGGGCATGTTTCCACCATTTTCTTTGTAGCCTGTG